GGGTGTGTGGGGAGAGGGTGGGCGGTGAGCAGCAGATTGGGGGTGAGGGGGCGTTGGGAGAGGGTGTGCAGTGAGCAGTGGATTGGCTGTGGGGAGGGTGTGTGGGGAGAGGGTGGGCGGTGAGCAGTGGATTAGGGGTGAGGGGGGTGGGGAGAGGGTGGGCGGTGAGCAGTGGATTAGGGGTGAGGGGGGTGGGGAGAGGGTGGGCGGTGAGCAGTGGATTGGAGGTGAGCAGAGAGCAAATATCTGACCTCACCCCTCATTCAGTTCAGGGTGAGGATTAGTGCTGAAGCTGAGGACTGGAGTCAGTCCCCATCATCAAACTGAATGCAAACCCGTCTCAATGATTAAAATATCCTCCATCATAATCCCCAACACAATCTGGTTCCTGCACCACCAGGAGTTAACCCTTTGCAAAGAGATCCAAGTTCATAGAAATAGCAGAACTTTAAACTAAAGAAGTATCATAAATGGGCCTCTATACACTAAAAGACAAAAGCTGAGGGTTTCCTTGAGGAGAGACAGGGGCAATCCAGGGATATTGGTGGCTTTGAGGTTTTGTTGACTCATCAATCCAACATCCTTCCCCAGATGCAATACAACCCACACTGCAGTTGTGTTTCTTATTGAATCATGGCACCAACGAGGTTTGAAATGAACGGGGGCGGAAGGAGAAAAGATGTTTCAGAAAAATTCTGTGCATTGTTGAATTGTGGCAGCAATCCTCAGTGAGATTCTGTTGCCTTGACAACAGCAGTTTCTGGGGTTTTTGCTTTGCTGGTCTTTGCAAAAAGCATTTCTGGAGCTGCGCAGTGTTAATCCAGAAACATAGAAACTGGGATTACAGATAAACCCAGAAACTACTGGAAATGCTCAGCACATCAGGCAGTGTCTGTGGAGAGACACACACACACACAGAAAAATAGAGACAGAGGCACAGAGACAAAGAGAAAGAGAGAGACAGACAGACAAAGACAGAGAGACAGCGTCACGTTTGAGACTAATGATCTAAACTCTACCAGTCTCCCTGGGCTTCCTTTTCTCCATTGAACAGTTCAGTGTTGTTCTTTGTAACTACATGCTCACTGGAGATATTGGTTTAATTCTGTTTAAAGAACCTGAAGCACTGGCCCTGTTTCTTTCTCCATTGATGCTATTGGATATGCTGAGCATTTTGAGCAATTTTTACTTCTTTCAGATTTCTAGGGCCTGCAGTATTTTATTTCTGACTGCCCCCATGCCATTATTTTATTCACCATTTCCCTTCTTAAAGGGGTGACTGAGCATTGTCAGCACCCAGCTTTATATCACTGGGTCAGAATCCTGAAAAACTCTCCCTAACAGCATGTGGGTGAAACTTTACCCCCAGGTCAGGGGCTGTTAGGGAATTGACAATAAATGCTGGTCCAGCTAGAGACTCCCACATTCTGAGAATTAATTTTCAAAGTATGATTTATTCTCCATATTTTTTGTCTCTCTGTGCAGGAAGAGGACCTCTGATTGGAGCAGCCATTCCTTTCTATCCAAACAGCACCTTGTTCATCAGGTAGATGGAGAAAGGGCTATGCAACTGTGAGGGGCATCCCAGATTCTGTCCAGTTGTGGACAGTGTAGGGGAGCCAGCAGCAGGGTTGGTTTCTCTTCCCCCTTTGGATTGACTCAGCTGTTGGTGGTGAAATGATACTCAGGACAGATCAGGGAATGTTTGTCCATGGGGAGACAGGAACAAGCAACATTTTCCAGATTGAGAATAATTATAAACTAAGAAACACAGAGTCAGGGTTAAAGTTAGTTACTCTGATGGGGTCTGATTTTCCACTGGGATCACTGTTGTTTCAGAATCAGGAATTCTACCTGAGAATCAGGAATTTGTGAGAGACCCGAACTGGGATATAATACTGAGGATGATTGCACAGAATACAATGTGACATGAACAAATTCACTGAATAGTATAAATAGCAAATTAATCTCAGGAATGCAAATATGAGACGATGTGTTTTGATGTGACGTGATAGGAGGTCACCTGCTCCTTGGAAAGTATGTGTGTAAACAGTATAGGAGCAGAGAGATTTGGGAATACAGAGAAAATCACTTCAAGCAGCAACATAGTTTAATAAAGTCATTAAAAATAAAAACAACCATGACCATCTTCCTATGTGCCAGGTATGAGTCCAACTACCAGAGAGTTTGCCCCATGATTCACATTGATACCCATTGATTCCAGTTTTGCTAGGGCCCCTTGATGTCAAGGGCTGTCACTCTCACCTCACGTCTGGAATTCAGCTCTTTTGTCCATGTTTGAACCAAGGCTGTAATGAGATCAGGAGCTAAGTGACCCTGGCAGAACTCAAACTGGGCTTCACTGAGCAGGTTATTGCTGAGCAGGCGCTGCTTGATAGCACTGTTGATGACACCTTCCATCGTTTTACTGATGATCAAGAGTAGACTGATGGGGTGGTAATTGGCCGGGTTGGATTTTTCCTGCTTTTTATGTACAGGACATACTTGGGCAATTTTCCACATTGTCGGGTAGATACCAGTGTTGACAACAGCCTGGCTAGGGGAGCTTCACATTCTGGACCACTCAGTACTATTGCCGGAATGTCGTCAGGGCCCGTAGCCTTTGCAGTATCCAGTGTCTCCAACTGTTTCTTGATATCACGTGGAGTGAATTGAATTGGCTAAAGACTGGTATCTGTGATGCTGGGGACCACAGCAAGAGGCTGAGATGGATGATCCACTTGGCACTTCTGGCTGAAGATTGCTGCAAATGCTTCAGCCTTATCTTTTGCACTGATGTGCTGGGCCCTTCCATCATTGAGGATAGGGATATTTGTGGAGCTGCCTCTTCCAGTGAGTTGTTTAATTGTCCACCACCATTCACAACTGGATGTGGCAGGACTGCAGAGCTTAGATCTGATCCGTAGGTTGTGGGATCGCTTAGCCTTGTCTATCACTTGCTGCTTTCACTGTTTGGTGTGCAAGTAGTCCTGTTTGCTGGCTTCACCAGGTTGACACCTCATCTTCAGGTATGCCTGATGCTGCTCCTGGCATGCCCTCCTGCACTCTTTGTTGAGCCTGGCTTGATGGTAATGGTTGAGTGGGGGATATGCCGGGCCATGAGGTTACAGATTGTGCTGGAGTACAATTCTGCTGCTGTTGATGGCCCACAGCGCCTCATGGATTTCCAGTCTTGAGTTGCTAGATTTGTTTGAAGTCTGTCCCATTTAGCACAGTGATAGTGTCATACAATACGATGGAGGGTATTCTCAATGTGAAAATCAGACTTTGTCTCCACAAGGACTGTGTGGTGATCACTCTTACTGTCATGGACAGATGCGTCTGCAGCTGGCAGATTGGTAAGGATTGTTATCCATACATTCGAGGGGTGCTTGATAAACATGGGGAGAAAGAAACAGATGGATATGTTGAGAGGGCTAAGTACAGGAGCACTCTACAGGCATAGAGCAGTTGTGCTGAATGACCTGTTTCTGAGCTGAAAACACAACAGGATAATGGAAAAGATTGGCTGATCACTTATCTGATTGTTATTTGTGGGACCTTGCTATGCATAAACTGACTACTGCAACTCTCTATCCTGAAACAGTGAAGAGACAAGGAGTATTTCATTGTCTGTGGAGTTCTGGGACGTCAGAGGAATGAAGGTTGTTTAAGTTAAGTTCCCTGCCCCAGAATGTGTTGGATGTAAGTTCCTTATTGATACTGAGTGAGACATTGCAAGATGAGAGCTTGCTGAAGAGGCGGGTGCTATCCCCTTGTTAGTTAGAAGCTTGCTGCATATTCGCGAGGCTGCCACACACACTATCATACGCCAACAAGCATTAATAATTTGACAGGAGATGTAGGGTGGGGGGTTGGAGTGGTATTATTTAGCAAAAGTTCAGGTTCAGGATCTGGAT